GAAAAAGTAATTACAAAGAGTAAGGATATAATTGCTTTTAAAAGTGTAACAATAGAATGCCCACTGCTTAAAATACGCTAATAGTCGAATATCTCTCTCCGGATATTGATAATCTCAACCATTTTATATCCAAAAAAGAGCATGACAGAACCAAACTGTGAATTTAGTTTTTTTCGCAACACTTATGAAGCACAACCTTTGTGGTGGTGTGATACACACAATAGGTTCCAACGGAATATTATTCTCACACTCAATATCCCATAATTATATTTGAACATTCTATTTCATGTCGCTTAATGTAAACCAAATATCATACGCTCAGTAACTCGTTAACAAATATAAACTGTATAGATTCAAAGCAAGAACTACAGTTTTAGCAGAATAATGTGGTACCATCATTTATTTCGTTGGCTTCTCATCAGCTGCTGCTTACAGCCGAAATAAATTATGAGGTTTAAGTACAGACATGTTTTAACATACTTGCAAATTTTACATGTTGTCAGTTGACAGAAAATTCCACAATTAGTAAACAGTGCTCAGAAGATTGCGCTTATATAGTTTTCACACAGGCAGTTCAAGTTAAAACAAAATAAATGTGTGCAGAAAATGGTAAAGGAGTTACGTGATAAAGATGAGATGTGCGTTAGATGCATAGTGACTAGTAAGTTAGGTAACAATGTACTGAGTTGAGCTCAAATCATACAAAACAAGAGACAAGCAAAATTACAGATTATAAAAGGGAGGGTGAGGTCAAAGACAAAGATTACGTAATCAGATGAGAAAAAAAGGCATCCAGTTACCAAGGCAAGGAAAGACTAATAACTGCTTCTTTCTGAACACATAAATCTGGTTTCAAGCGTTTGATAGAAATCGCTTCAGCAAACTTAAGGAGAATTCAGCTCTTTTGCCTATTGATAATTTTGAACGACTTTTCGACGTCCCCCTCATGACCCGTGTCGAGGAAATGCCTGGCAATGGCACTGTTTAAAGCATTTGTTCCCTTTAGATGTAAGCTTTTTCGTACATGTTCATAAAATCGTAGATATGCCCTTTTTTCTGTTCTTCCAATGTAACTTACTTACTTTTACTTTACTTCGGCTATCTCCTACGGGAGGAAGAGCCGGCTTCATGAACGTCTCGAATCATCGCTGCCCAGGCGCGGCGATCTGAAGCAAGGTTTTGCGATAGGGATATCCAATTCTTGTTCCACATACGGAGTCCGTAGACGGTTTGTAGCCCCAGGCACTCCATATCTGCCTTGACTGTACCAAGCCATGTCTTCAGCTGTCCGCCCCTGCGACATCGCCAAGATGGTAATGGCGAGGGATTTAGAACTGATTTGACCAGATCGTCATCTGGTCGGCGCAGAACATGGCCAAACCACCGAAGGCGGCGTTGTTGGACCAGTACTGGAATTTGGTTGATGTTGTAGCAACGACGACGCACTTCTTCGTTGGAGAGTTTGTCCTGCCAACGAACATGCAGAATGTACCTGAGACACCAATGGTCTAATACCTCGAGTCTGCGTAAATCTTCCGCGCGAAGAGGCCAGGTTTCACAGCCATACAGGAGAACGGGTCGTATGGAAGCTTGGTAGACCCGAATTTTAGTCCTGAGACTGATTTCTCTCTTGCTCCATAGAACGCTCCTCAGCTGTAGAAACGCATTCCGGGCGTTGGAGATTCGCGCATTCACTTCGTTTTTCGCTTGGCCGTTGGGGAGCATTATGGATCCCAGATATCTGAAGGATGGCACAATTTCAATAGGTGCTCCATTTAGGGATAAGATTTCATCATTGCTGGTGGATGTGTTCGAAAACATTTTGGTTTTGGAAGTGTTAATTTTCAAACCGATAGTAGGCGCGAGGTGATTTATCTGGTCGAGCGCCTGTTGCATATCGGGGAAGTTTTCAGCTAACAGCACGACGTCGTCGGCGAATTCGAGGTCGGTTATGTGAATATCGGGCGAAAGTTGGACGCCGTGGTGCTCGGTTAGGGCGTGCCGCAAAATCCAATCAATTGTGAAATTGAACAGGATGGGGGATGCTGGACAACCTTGCCGGACACCGCTGGTTACCTCAAAAGTGCGGGACTCTTCACCGTTCACTCGGACTCGAGCTTTGGTGTTGGAGTAGTATGACCTGAGCAGGTTGATTAGCTTGGTCGGAACTCCGTCGAGCTCCATTAGATACCAGAGTGCTCCTCGATCAACTGAGTCGAATGCCGCTTGGAAGTCGATGAAGCAAGCAACCGTCGGCTGTTGGAATTTGTCCCTGTGTTCCAAAATTCTTCGCAGTGTGAATAATTGATCAACACAGCCTCTTCCAGGTCGAAATCCGGCTTGATTTGGCCTTGTTCGCACGTGGCGTTCGGCCGCGAAGCGGTTCAGGAGAATGGAAACAAAAACCTTAGCAGCGAAATCAATGTAACTGCTCCCGCAGATACACGTAAATTTGTGTATACAGTTGGAGTTAACATGAGAGGGATATCTATCGATTTTTGATTGCATCAAAGAGAAAAATCTCCGATAGATGGGAACCGATTTAGCTTCAGGATAGGCTATGGCTAGTGATGTACTCAGCCTTCTGTTGATCATCGCTGCAATGTTTTCACCTTTATAGTCAAGCTGAACGTAGACTGGCTTTTGACCCACTGTGATTTGTTTTGCATTTGTGACTTCAGATCTTCCATACTTGTTGATGAACTTTTGAGGATACCCATTTCTCTTCAATATCTTTTCAAGGAACTCAAACTCCTCCTCTAGTTTCTCTATAGAGCATATTCTCCTCGCTCTATAGTACAGAGTCTTGACTAGACCACGTTTAAAGCTATTCGGACAAAAGCTATTAAAATGCAAGTATTGTCCTTTCCATATGGGCTTTCAATAAATTGACTTTTGAAGACTACCGTCTTCTAGGCGTTCCATGGCGATGTCGAGGAAGTGAAACTTTCCGTCACTTTCATGTTCCATAGTGAACTCAATATTGGCGTGTGCACCATTGAATAATCTTAGTAAGTGTGAAGGATGACTTTCATTTTTGCACACTATAAATGTGTCATCAACATAACGACAGTAGGAAGATGTTTCGTCGATTGCATGTTTCAACTTTGTTCTTTCAAGGTTTGACATGAATATATCTGCTAGAACAGGGCTAAGTGGACTGCCCATAGCTACACCATCTATTTGGCGGTAAAACGTGATGATTCCAATCAATGAAACTATTGAGATCATTTGTCAGCAGTCCGATCTTCTCCCACTCCCAGAATCGGAATTCAAACGCCTACTGTTTATGTGTACCACGGATGTGCAATTCCAATTTGACAACACGTTTTATCGCCAAATAGATGGTGTAGATATGGGCAGTCCACTTAGCCCTGTTCTAGCAGATATATTCATGTCAAACCTTGAAAGAACAAAGTTGAAACATGCAATCGACGAAACATCTTCCTACTGTCGTTATGTTGATGACACATTTATAGTGTGCAAAAATGAAAGTCATCCTTCACACTTACTAAGATTATTCAATGGTGCACACGCCAATATTGAGTTCACTATGGAACATGAAAGTGATGGAAAGTTTCACTTCCTCGACATCGCCATAGAACGCCTAGAAGACGGTAGTCCCTACAAAATGTAAGATGCTGCTACAGGACTGGACCACGTCAACCCCTAACTTAGTGATAGGAAGTGAAGTGATAGAACATGTTGACCACTTCATCTATTTGGGAAGTTGTATTAGCACCAACGGACTGATTGGCGATGAAATCTCAGCACGGATCCGAAAAGCTCGAGCTGCTTTCGCTGACTTACACCATCTCTGGAGTAGGCGTGACATCCGGTTATCAACCAAGGGACGTGTGTACTGCTCAGCAGTTCGCTCCGTCCTTCTCTATGGCTCTGAAACATGGCCAATACGCGTTGAAGACATGAAAAGGTTGACTGCTTTCGATCATAGATGTCTGCGATCTCTGTCTCACGTTAGGTGGTTTCACAAGGTAAGTAATGTTGACGTTAGGCGTAGAGTGTTGGGCAAAGAGGGAAAATCAATCGACGAGGCTATAAAGTTACATAAACTAAGATGGCTAGGTCACGTGCTGCGCATGCCTAACCATCGCCTCCCCCAACGACGGGCATTGCTAGCTGATATAGGTGCAGGTTGGAAAAGGGTAAGTGGTGGCCAAACAAAAACATGGCCTCATCAATCCATGAAATCCTTGACAGTTAAACTGAGTCAGGTAGGGAGATGCAGACTCCCGGGTTGGGGCCCTCGGGACTCTAGGAATCAATGGCTGGAGACAATAGGTGACATGGCTCAAAATCGTTGTCAATGGCCAGCGCAGATGTATTCAGTCTCTGTAATCTTTCATATTCCTTTCTACCATTACCCATTCTGTTTCACTCTTATACTTGTCAAACTCTATTGATTCTCTTCACTCATCTTCTTATCTACCTTTGTGTGGTATTTGGAACGTGGCAACTCGAACTGGTGCACTTCGGTGCCAAGTTCTATGTTGAATCCAGACAGACAGACAGACAGTCTTCAAAAGTCAATTTATTGAAAGCCCATATGGAAAGGACAATACTTGCATTTTAATAGCTTTTGTCCGAATAGCTTTAAACGTGGTCTAGTCAAGACTCTGTACTATAGAGCGAGGAGAATATGCTCTATAGAGAAACTAGAGGAGGAGTTTGAGTTCCTTGAAAAGATATTGAAGACAAATGGGTATCCTCAAAAGTTCATCAACAAGTATGGAAGATCTGAAGTCACAAATGCAAAACAAATCACAGTGGGTCAAAAGCCAGTCTACGTTCAGCTTGACTATAAAGGTGAAAACATTGCAGCGATGATCAACAGAAGGCTGAGTACATCACTAGCCATAGCCTATCCTGAAGCTAAATCGGTTCCCATCTATCGGAGATTTTTCTCTTTGATGCAATCAAAAATCGATAGATATCCCTCTCATGTTAACTCCAACTGTATATACAAATTTACGTGTATCTGCGGGAGCAGTTACATTGGAAGAACAGAAAAAAGGGCATATCTACGATTTTATGAACATGTACCAAAAACACTAACTGCATATAAATCATGAATTAAATATATATTCACAACCGAAATAATTAAAGACAATTTCTATTCACACAAATGCGAGTTGATAACAACCAACTGAATACAATATTTCACCACAGTCCGAATTAAGTTTCATCAGTCTTTTCGCAATACACATAACACATTACCAAAACTATGTACAAAGGTCAAACATCAAGAAATTCCCAAATGTATAAACAAGATCACAATGCACATTAATAATACTTACACCCCAATTTTTAATTATTAAGTGAAATAGTTTGAAAAAATTAGAAAAAAAACAAGCCGTTAAAGTTCATTTACAAACATTTTTCTGATTTGTGTTATCATTCTTATCAAGAGTATCAATAAAATTTGGTATAATATCGGAACTAATTAAATCCAAAGAAAATCGATCATCATGTACTAATGAAGTTGAACAAGGCACATTTATTTGTTTGTCTTCTGCATAAGGCGGTATATTCCATATAGTTTTTGGTAAACAATTTATTGCATTTAAAGGAAAACACTGTACACGCATACATTCAAAATTTTTGTATTCTTTAAGTTTATTATTTAAAAATCCTAAAGAACTATATTGTTTATTGGGGAGTTGAACTACTACTGTTTCAAGAGCAGTAATATAGGCTAGTTTATCTGCAATCTGACTGTTTGTTTCACCTGAAGCAATCAATTCTTGACGAATTTCTCTCCATCCATTAGAGAATAGTACTAAACGAGATAATATACTAGGTGACCAATTAGTACACAATAAATTATTCAAAAGACTTGGAGCGCAATGTGGTAGTATAATGAAATGAAATCGATCAGGAGATAGCTTGTAACAGCCTTGTTTATTTACTGGTATGATCTAAATAAAATAAAATAAAATTTTTATATAAGCCATCCGAAGACGATTAGAAGGTTCTATTTGCCATCATCAAACCAGTTGCCTGGTCCTAAGTTTAAAAATTGACATAAAGTTTTCATAAAAATTTCAAGCAAAAGTGAATTATACGGTAGTACTAGACTTTTCCGTGCATTCTGTTTGTGACTCCATGTCTATGTAGTTCACAAACTATAATAATAACGTTATTATTCGTCCCTTGGGTTCCTAGAAGAACACAGCCTCAGCAGTACAACAAAATCTCATCATGGATACAGAAGGCACCTGTAGCATTCGCTAACGTACGTCATCTTCAGTGTGGATGTGATTTCCGGATATCGACCAGAGCATGTGTGTATTGCTTGCTTTGCTTTACTTCGGCTATCTCCTACGGGAGGATGAGCCGGCTTCACGAATGTCTCGAATCATCACTGCTCAGGCGCGGCAATTTGTAAGAGAGTTCATGAAGTTTCATGGGAATTTGGTACGAGTGATGACCCCAGCATGTGTGTATTGAACAGCAGTTCGCTCCACCCCTCATCTACAGCTATAAGCCGTGGGCACTGAGAGAGGAGGACTCAAAGAGGCTTGTCGTTTTTCACCATAGGTGTTTGAGATCCATCCTTTGTGTTAAGTGGTATAATATGGTGAGTAATGTTGAGGTTAGGCGTGATGTTAGGTAAGACAGGGAAGTCGATGGATGAGGTTGTGAAGCTACATCGACTGAGATGACTAAGACATGTGTGAAGCATGCCAATCCGTCACCTTCCTTGTCATTCAACGTTAGTTGATATCAGATTAGGATTGGAGACATGTATTGTCAAAATGAAAACTAGCGTGAATCCATGAAGTTTTCGACTGTTGCTCTGAGCCTAGTAGGCTGGTGCAGACTGTCTGGCTGGGGTCCTCGAGAATTTAAGAACTGATAGATGGAGGGTATTGGGGACATAGCTCAAAATCGTTATTAGTGGTGAAAATGCAACTACGTGTGAACTCATGAATCCATCAAATTCTGATTATTGTCTATGTTCTTATTATTCCTCTCATACATTTCCGTTCCTTATAGTTCCTTAGGTTTTTTTCCTTAACTTTGTGGGCTATGGAGAATGCAGCAACCTAAAATGCTGCACTTTCACACAAAATTCTACCTTCACACGTCTTCAACCGTTATTCTAACTCGTAAAATACTCACAACATTTATCTTAATATGGAGATCGTTGCAAATACAAACGTGTATAAAACAAAATACAAGTTATTAGTAAAACCCTATTAGGTAACAAAATCTACTTACATTCATACCAAGCTTTTGTATCAACTCTCGAACGATAGAATTGAATACAGGGTCATATAAATAGGTACGTGATCGATCCAGTCGAGAGTCAAACTGTAACAGGAGGTCTAATACGACTAACTGATGCAAACTGGCACGATCTGCAGCCGGACTGCCCAATCCTAAACATAGAACATCGACCATCCCCGGTTCAATCTGTTCGTCTGATATGATTGAAAATGCTTGATTAATAGAATGCAATAAACAATCGAAGAAAGACTTATTTGACTTTGAAAGTAGAAAGTTGGATCGCATACCAACAAACCTTTGCATAAGTGTCTCCAGGTTATCATCTTCCATAAGATTAGAAATATTATCATGTAAGCTGTATCCATTCTGTCGATGAACGACTGAATGCCTAATTGGTCGTACATTTTTGCATTTACGTCTCATTTTACGAGAACATACACGAGACCATCCTTCAGATTCATTCTCCTCCAAACTCACTTTCGTAAAATCATCGATAAATGACTCAACCATTATTTCACAATGAAAAATACGGTTATCCAAATTATGATCGAGGCCTGATGGTAATGTTCAGTACCTTCAGAGTATGATAGACCTACATAAATAAGACATAAATGATACAAAAAAGACTAAAAGCAAGTTTTAAAGATAGTCAGATTAAACTGCTTAGTTTACATAAAAAGAATATTCGTGTCAGAAAAAATGCAAGCGTTTTTTAAATCTCAAACAAACATAAAAAGTTCATTATAAATTATTTAAATTAATCCCAGCGTGTTAAGAAAATCAAAACAATAAGACTTTTCTGAACGTGATAAATCTGCTGAAGAAGCTGCGGCTTATACAACGAAACGTTCAGAAAAATCTTGTTTTGATTTTCTTAACACTCTGGGATTAATTTAAATAATTTATAATGCATCAATCTGACTCGGCGCTCAAATTATTCCAGGAAATTCGTAACACCTACGGTCTGGAAACCTATAATCTTATTAAAAACATAAAAAGTATCGTGAGAACTACGAAACAAAATTGTAATACTACACAAGAGTTACCACACTTTAGTGGGACCGAGACTGTAAAAGTTCTCAGCAAGAAGCAAAACAGGTGTAAGGGAAGAAAAACAAGGAAGCAGGCAATAATACAGTGCTTGATTTTCAGGGGAAAAAACAAGAGATAAATCTATCTGTATTGGTGTAATAACTAAACTTGAAACGCCATGTCCTGATCTCAGACTAGAAAATATCAATAAACACTATTTGCGCAACACATTTCGAACATTCTGATCACACACGGACTTGTCATAGGAATATATAAGAAATTAATAAAGAGGTGAGAGGTGAGCAAAGAGACTTAGGTCGAGTTAAAAGGACATATGACAAGTCCGTGTGTGATCAGGTTGTTCGCAATGTGTTGCACAAATACATTACACGACTCAGACAAATTACGTCTTCTTATTGCTTTATCTAAATTCATAAAGGGAACTAATTGTTTTAAATAAACACTATTAAATTATGTTTTATAAACACTAAACAACATTCATAACTAATACGTTTTTTCACCAGCTTACAGTACTTCATATAACTTAGACCAAATACGTATTATCACCTGCTGATCATCATGTTAGGCAAACAACTACGAGGACAGGTTGAATACTCTACAAGAGTAACATGAACAAAATACATCCACTGATCCCAACAACGTAGTAAAGACAACGTAAGTGCAGATTTACAAAGCCTATGCAGCGACAGGAGGTAGTGATGGGCAAAATAACCGTAAACATATGCCAAAAAAGCAATGAATATAAGCAATACAGTACAACCACACAAGTTGATTACAGAGGCAGGTATGAAACTACAACTGAGTTAAATTATAGGAAAATGACTTCAATGAAGAAACATTCACTGGCAGTTGAACTGCCATCCAAGTCATCAAAAGTTGCCTCCTACTGAGATTCTGTCTGGATCTGGCAAGTGTTGGATGTTTATCACCTGGCTCGAATGAACATAACCCGATCAGATATACAGGTAACCAAGACATAACAATACAATAAGTTGCAAATCCACGTCTAAATGCTAGAGTATGCAATCAGACGCAAACAAATGGCTTCAAAGAACTTGAGAACCAATAAATTGATTACCATTGTACTTAGATACAGAATTTATGGCTCATAAATTGTGTATTGATCAAACTACTTATTTAGACGGTAGATTATAGTCGCACATTGCTTAATTACCTTATCGCCCGCGGGATATTTAGAAAATTATACTGAGATAATTTCTAATTCAGTTCCCTTGGAGTCTTAGCTCTTACGTAATCTTAAATGGAAGAAATACTAGCGAGTCAGAAAGTCATCGCATAGATGACTCTTGCATAGTTTACAACTGATAAATTTCGCAAGCTTGTATTTTCATACAGGATCTAAGCGTAAATCGAAGGAATTAAATGTAGGAAAGTATACATATTGCAAAAAATCCTTTAGTTAAAATGACATATGCTTGCAATTCATGACGAATTACTTGCAATGGCGTTCCTATTTGTGAAAAATCATATTCAAATAAAACATCGTTGGACATCGTCCTATCGGCTATCTTAAACCTGTTGAAATAAAAACAATTTAAAAGTAAATCTTCAACTACTGAGTGTTAATACGTATTAACACTCAGTACTCTAAACGTACGTTTAGAGTATCTTCTCAACAGTACGGAAACACAATACTACTTCATACAATTTACTTCACTAATCGACCGGAAATAATTCTGGAACGATATTAAAGTTTACTGCAATTCAGGAACTAGCAACATGATTCTCCATTTAATTGACATACACAACCTGAAAGCTTCAATCACTCCGGACAAATGAAGGTGATTCCTAACATTCCTTTGTGAGTATACATTATTTACAAACTTAGTGCTACTCATTTAACGCGCAACAAGAGCCTTCTATCCCTATAATCTGAACCACTCATTGATGTCGGTAAGACTACTACTTTGAGCCCATTCATAGATACTTCCAAATCTTGTTAAATAAATAATTAATGTAAATAAATGTATAATAATGTCTAATAAGATGATGAAACAACACCAGTGGCATACTTGTCCATTACGCCACAAAGTAACGCAGAGGGTAATTTCCCCTCAATTTTATAGGAAGTGTTAGTTCAACTTCATATTCCATTTTCTAGCAGAGACTACAAGGCTTCCATACAATGTAAGCACGTGTGGAGTCCTCAAAAATCAACTTATCCAAATTTTACTACTATGTAAATAATGAACATATTGTACACCACTTTGTTTTAACCAGAAACTCTGTACTTTGACTTTACCTCGGGTTTTGAATAAATATACAGCTGTGCCTTCGACTCTCCGTCTTCTCCACCATCTCAACTGCCGTCGATCAATCCTAATCACCTGCTTTCTATCTCTGATTTTTGCAGGAGCACCGTAGTTTCTTCCTACGTACTTTGGTCGACCTCCGGCAACGTTAACATTGGAGAATTACTACTGGAGCAGTCTTTCCGCAGCACCTGGAGTCTATTACGTTTATTGTGGACTGTGGACCTTTGTAAACTCAAGTAATCAAACTTTAATACATTCTTCCCGTAACTAAACTCATTTGGTATTTTATTTTCTACTTGAATTTGGGTAACTAAGCTAATAGAGTGAAAAGGTCCACCACAATAATTGGTGAGCCCGTTTCGAACCCTTTTTTTATGGTTAACCCGTTTTCGAACCTTTTTGTTTCGATAGTTACCTCGTTTTGAACATTTTTGTTGCTATTTTGTCCTTATAAACTCGCACTGCTTTAATTTTTGTTACCACAAGTTTTTCTATTTTGTATATCTATATACTTACATATTATATGACAATGGCTCCACCTAAACGTACCACTGTTGCTGAAGAAGGTAATAAAGGCGAAGAGACACAGAACTCTGCTGTTAACGCCTTGCCGGATTTAAGACTTCCTCAATTTGATCTGGCTGAACCACGTGTCTGGTTCACAATTATTGAACAGTTGTTTGCAGCTCGAGGTATTACGTCGCAGATCGCCATGTATGGTTGCGTATTAGCAGCAATTCCCACGGAAGTACTACGAGAGGTTATCGATGTCATAGACAGCAAACCTACAGACTCTCAATATGACAAACTAAAAGCTGCACTCATCCAGCGGACCACTCTCTCCGATGAGAAACGCATACAACAACTACTTACTTCGTGTGATCTAGGTACAAAAAAGCCATCTCAACTACTTAGACATATGCGCCAGTTGATTGGGTCACACAAAGTAGATGAGTTAATTCTACGTCAGATGTTCTTACAACGTTTACCACAAAATGTTCAACAAATCCTAACAATATCTTCTAGGACGACAGACCTTGAAGAATTAGCTAAAATGGCAGACGATATCATGGATGTGTTATCAAATAATGGCATAAATAGCGTGTCTACAGAGGCAGTACCACCAAGCCCTTCCACATCTATGAAGGACGCACCAATGTTTTGGTTACTTTCCCAGTTAACATCTCAAATGCAAGATTTACGACTGGAAGTGTCCGAGCTTCGAGCACAAAGGAACCAGTCACATACGGTATCCAAGCAACGGCGATCAAGATCTAGACGACGTTCTAGAACACCGTCTCAAAGCCGTAACATTTGTTGGTATCATAGGAGGTATGGGCATAATGCCCTGAAGTGTATTCGACCGTGTATGTACAACAGTAGTAACTCATCTCAGGGAAACTCCCCAGCCAGACAGTAATGGCGACGGCTGTTAATGGCAATCACCCCAGTCGCCTTTTCTATGTGAGGGATTTGACTACCGGCACATTATTCTTGGTAGATACAGGCGCCGAGGTCAGTGTTATTCCCCCCTCACTATCCAGGCGATCAGCCAAAATACCTGGAAAACTTTCACTCCGTGCTGCCAACCAAACCAACATACAGACGTATGGCGAACAGTCAATGATTTTAAATTTAGGACTACGCCGACGTTTCACATGGATCTTCATAGTAGCTGACGTACGTCACGCTATACTAGGTGCAGACTTCCTAAGTCACTTCAATCTGTTAGTTGATATCAGCAAGAAAAAACTGGTTGACAATTGCACCCAACTCAAGATCCATGGTATTACATGTGACTACTCGGTTCATAGCATCTGTATAGAAAAGCCGGAGAGTGAAATGTTCTCTGCTTTATTGAAACGATTTCCTAAAATCCTTAAACCATCATACAACGTTGAAGATATATCTCATACAGTTACGCATAAGATCATCACAACAGGACAACCTGTGAAGGCACGTCCACGACGGTTACCACCCGATAAACTAGCAGCAGCTAAGTCGGAATTTGAACATATGATGCAGTTAGGTATCATACGACCATCTAACAGCCCATGGTCTTCACCTCTGCACATGGTACCTAAAACTAATCATGACTGGCGACCATGTGGAGATTATCGCGCTTTGAATAACGCTACGGTCCCAGATCGTTATCCTATACCTCATCTCCACGACTTCTCCTTGAACTTACATGGAAAGACCGTTTTTACCAAAGTTGACTTGGTCAGGGCATATCATCAAATACCAGTCGCTCCAGAAGACATTGCAAAAACAGCAATTATTACGCCTTTTGGATTATTCGAATTCTTGAGAATGCCTTTCGGACTAAAGAATGCTGCTCAAACATTTCAGCGTTTTATGGACCAAGTTACCCAAGGTCTTGATTTCGTCTTTGTATATATCGACGATGTCTTAATTGCCAGCTCATCGATGGAAGAACATATGCAACACTTAAGCCTGTTATTTCAAAGGTTTGAACAATTTGGAGTTGTTATCAATCCAAAGAAATGTATTTTTGGTTCCCCTTCCATTGAATTCTTAGGACATCGAATAACTGCCGAAGGCATCAGACCTACCGAAGATAAGATAGAAACTATTAAGAACTTTCCCGAACCTGATTCCTTAAAGAAACTTAGACGTTTTCTCGGGATGTTCAACTTCTACCGACGTTTTATTCCATCATGTGCCTCCATAGTTCAACCACTGACCGACCTACTTAGATGCAATTCGAAGAAATTTCAGTGGTCTGAAGAAGCAAAAGCAGCATTTAATAATGCAAAAGATGCCTTATCCAACGTTGTAATGTTATCTCATATCAACCCAGAAGCTTCACTCATTTTATGTACAGATGCATCGCAGGTAGCAGTGGGAGCAGTTTTACAACAAAAGTTCAATAATGACACCACTCCACTTGCTTTCTTCTCCAAAAAGTTGGAACCTGCGCAAACTCGTTACAGTACCTTTGGCAGAGAACTGTTAGCCATCTACCTAGCAGTGAAACATTTCAGCTTCTTACTACAAGGTCGACATTTTACTATCTTAACCGACCATAAGCCTCTTTGTTATGCTTTCACCACTTCGTTGGACAGACACTCTCCGAGAGAAGCCAGACAACTGGATTACATCTCACAATTCTCAACAGACATCCAGTTCATCAAAGGAGATTCTAATATCGTAGCCGATTCTTTGTCTCGATGTGACGTTAATCACCTATCTTCGATAGATATTAGCTTAGACAATATTGCCAAGCTGCAGAAAAATGACGCCGAACTCCATACTTGTAGACGAAACTCCTCCCTACAGTTGCAGGATGTACCTATTCCCCTGTCTGATACAACTATCGTCTGCGACGTTTCAACGGGAGTTCATAGACCTTTTGTTCCACTAAGTTGTCGAAAAACTTTGTTTGAACATCTACATTCATTGTCTCATCCTGGAGTGCGTGCTACAGTCAAGTTGATCAGCGAGCGTTTTGTTTGGCCCAAGATGAACTCCGATATTCGGAAATGGGCCCGCCAATGCTTGCAATGTCAAAGATCCAAGGTACATCATCACACCGTCACACCTCCAAAACAGTTCAATTTACCCGATAAACGATTTCAACACGTTCATATAGATGTTGTTGGACCATTACCGCCATCCAGAGGATTTACTCATATACTTACTGCGATTGATCGATTTACCCGATGGGCTATTGCTTGTCCACTCAACGATATATCTGCAGAAAATATCGCTTTGGTTTTCTTAGATCGCTGGGTGTCAAACTACGGAGTACCCACAACTATTACAACAGACCGAGGAGCTCAATTTCAATCAACTCTGTTTCGAGAGTTTACGAGACTCCTTGGAGTGAACCATATCTCCACTACAGCTTATCATCCTGCAGCGAATGGTCTGGTGGAACGTTTCCATCGACAACTGAAAAGCTCGCTTATGGCACAAGCTGACTCATCTAAGTGGAGTGAACACCTACCATTAGTTCTTCTCAGTATCCGATCAACTGTAAAAGAAGATTTGGGATGTACACCAGCTCAACTTGTGTATGGTACTACCCTCACATTGCCTGGTCAGTTAGTTCCGTCTAATGATTCAACTGAAGTAAATATCTCCGACTTCACCAACCGCCTTACCCAGCATATGCTTCAGCTTAGACCAGTAGCCCCTCGCCAATCACTTCAGAAAGCTCAAGTAAATAAGAACCTACTCACTAGCAAATTTGTATTTGTTCGCGTCGATGCCATTAGAAAAGGTCTACAACATCCATATGAAGGTCCTTTTCTAGTACTTAAACGCACCGAAAAATACTTCACGCTGAACAAACATGGTAAACCGGAGACTGTTTCTATCGACCGTCTTAAACCAGCGTACACCGACAGCGAACATGAAACACTAGCAACGCCGACACCAATAAACAATCAGCAAGTCAATGCAACTCCAACTCTCCCGCTCTTCACTCTTCCCCCTGTACAGACACGCAGTGGGCGGCAGATCTGTAAACCTGCCCGCTATGTTCATTTCATTGACTGACATAAACGTTAACCTCATTTAGACACACTTCTCATTACTATTGTTGTTAACATTCACTTCATTATAACCATTAATATTTATTAGTATTATTATTTGCTGTTCGTCAACTGTACTGCAAGCACACGCATTCACCACGTATATGTGTATATCTATTTATATATGAATTTCACAAATGTTAACAAACATGTCATGGTTTATTATGTACATAAATTTTTATTTAAAATTATAACAAGTTTTGATTTTTTTTTAAAATTCCTGTATGTGCTTGTATGTGCTAAACTTTATACGACACGGATGCATTCTATACATCCTGATCTAACTTTGTATCCTTATTGTTGTTATTTTTTGTTATCCATATTGTTGACATTATCCCTTATTTATGTTGCTTATATTCATGTAATCGTCCACGAGGGCAGTACTGATGGTCCTCCGGACCTCTAAGAGGGGGAGCCCTGTGGAGTCCTCAAAAATCAACTTATCCAAATTTTACTACTATGTAAATAATGAACATATTGTACACCACTTTGTTTTAACCAGAAACTCTGTACTTTGACTTTACCTCGGGTTTTGAATAAATATACAGCTGTGCCTTCGACTCTCCGTCTTCTCCACCATCTCAACTGCCGTCGATCAATCCTAATCACCTGCTTTCTATCTCTGATTTTTGCAGGAGCACCGTAGTTTCTTCCTACGTACTTTGGTCGACCTCCGGCAACGTTAACATTGGAGAATTACTACTGGAGCAGTCTTTCCGCAGCACCTGGAGTCTATTACGTTTATTGTGGACTGTGGACCTTTGTAAACTCAAGTAATCAAACTTTAATACATTCTTCCCGTAACTAAACTCATTTGGTATTTTATTTTCTACTTGAATTTGGGTAACTAAGCTAATAGAGTGAAAAGGTCCACCACACACGTTTAACTTTCAAACCCTCCCAGGTTTTTTTCATCTTTAGACATTTTTACTCGAGTTATTACAACAAGATGGGGAGGAGAAACAAGACGGG